GAAATCAGCTCACATCTATAATACATTTTAGAATGCTACTTATAAGCCATGCAAAATTATAGAATTAAGATTCTTTAAGGTTTAAATTTAAACATCCTAAAGTCAGAAATGGAAGGTTTAAAACTCAACTTTACCATTTGCTCTCCCTCTCCATTGTACTTGTACCTAACAACAACATCTGGCTTTTGCCAGCCTTCCTCGTATGAAACTTCATATAGTGGACAAAGCACCCGCTAAAAACAAATACGCGAGGCACTTTTTCATTCAGTGCATGAAAGATTTCAAGTCTGTAACTGTAACAGAAGATCTCTCAGCCATGATCACTAAAATTTAGTTTAAAATACACATGCATAATAGCTGTGGTCCCAAGTCCTGCAGTTTCAACAGCACATGTGCTCATGACGCAACTCATCAGATCTCAAAAGCTAAACAGTGTTCATGCGGACCTGTGAGAGCATTCAAAACACAAAATAAGTCAAAATGTGTAGAGAAACCCTGACTCCTGGAGCGCTGGCTGAAGGGAGCTTTTAAAGAGCATCTAAAAGAGTTTTACAAAACGCAATGCATTGAAATTGCTTCAGGGAGCAGGAGCGTGCAATCCGCTGAGCGGTGATGCAAGGAGCAGTTGGTTAACGTCTTTGCTGCTGATTAGGACAGTCAGGATGGGTTTGTGTGACACGCAGAGTGCCACCGCTCTGCTCCCGTGCAGGACTGCCCAAGTTCCCTTTTCTCCTCTCGCCACGCAGAAAACGGGGCTCTGTGAGCAGGGACCTGCTGGAGGGGAGGAACCGTCCCTTCTGCCTGCACAAGAGTATTTCCGAAGCGCTAAACTGTGGTCAAAACAGTACCCAAACAAGCCACATAACTTCTGCCTCCTATACGCCTTGCCCATCCAGTCTCTCCTGTATGCAGCAGATGAATGCCTCATTATCACATTCCTCTGCTTGCTTCCCGGTAGACTTAAATTACCATGTTAAATAGGATAATAATAAACACTGGCCTTTAACTACAGCACATCCTTGTTCACTCAGCAGCCTCCCTCTAATCTGATAAAGGCTCTGTAAAAGGCTACAAGGAAACACGGAGTTAAGTTACACAGGTGCCTCTCCCTTGCTTTCTGCAATGTGATTCCTACGGTAGCACAAGCAGGCTCAGGCTGACAAACCTGGTGTAGGGGACCTTGATCCCTACAAGAATTAACAGGTATCGAAGCAGGGACAAGGTACGAAAAGGACATTGTGGATCCGGTCCAAGACTCTTCTGCTGCATTTCAAAAGGCAAAAGTAGCCCCATGCCATCTGCTTGCTTCAGCACTCAGACTCCGAAACAAAAGCAACCAAGGAAATCTTTACGGCTTAGGAGAACAGTGGGGAAGACGAGAGATCTTGGCGGCAGTGTATACTGCCTTTGTACAGAGCTCACTGTATTTGAGGTATTACAGAAGCTCTCTTTAACAACTACTCTGAAAAAAAGTCATCTATCCACCCAGAATAAATTACATAAAGGGAGCAAGCTGGATTGGGAACAGAGAGGGCTGATCTGCCTAGATTTTGAATCCCCTTAGCTCCCAGAAGCTGAAAGTGCCATTTACTTCAGTGTCACAGGATTTCCTGCCCCCCCTCCTTTTTTTTAAAAAAAATTATTTACTTTACCTAATCCCCTGGATTTCTCTTGTTGCAGAAAGAGGAAGAAGCCTTACAAAACAACAGGGGATAAACACAAAGTCAAATTACTCTGCTGAGCTCTTTCACACATCCCAAAAGAACTGGAGAACTGCAAACTCTGGAAAGCACGAGGAGTTTCCTACTGAAAGAGGATATTCCAACCATCACCCATTGAAACGCAGCCATTCCTGCAGTTCCCAATTAATAAAGTCAAGCTTCAACATTTGTGCTAGGAGGAATATATCTGTGGAAGTAAGACGGCTTTCCTCTAGTTTTCCAAAGTGAGTAAAACTTGGCTTTCTATCTGTCTTCCTTTTCTTCCTCCAGCTTCAGCTTCACAGAGTTGGCAAGCAATACAAAAAAGGAGGAAAGACATGAACTAGGCCGTCTGTCGTTGGAGGGTATGAAAGACAGTCTTAGTGATGGCAGGAGAGAGAGAGAAGCAGCCTATGGTTATTTTTGACAGAATCGGGAGAGACTCAGATTGCAGCTTCATAAACAGTTCATCAGAGAAAAATTCTGTCCAAATTGGAGAAGCCCCTCTGGCCAAGCTAACAGAAATACACAGCCCTTGTCTGGTAATAGAGAAATCTTTTGAAAATCAAAATGCCTTTCTTCAAAGAACAAAACCAAACCACCCCACCCCCCTGCATGGTATAGTAACACCAACTTGCACTTTTGTTTTTGCAATTCATGGCTTGCAGAATATTCAGAGAAAATTTCAGGGTGATACCAATCTGTGAATGTTCTGCATGACACACAGCCATGACCACGCAATGAAATGAAAAATGGATTTTGTCCAGTGTCACCCGACCACAAGGTCCCCTTGATGCACTGCTCTGCAGAACTGCAGGTGATGCAGAGAGGCAGTCAGCAGGAAAATGCCTGGAATTACCCCAATGCACCCAGCTCAAATAAAATAAAAATTATTGTTTCGTATGGGTGTTTACACAGAAGGAGAGCATGGAATTTGACCACACCTCTGAATAAAAAGTGAAAACTCAGCCTCGTTATTAAATGCCGATTAGAGAGCACAGGTGAAGTATTTCTCATGCATCGTGATGACAAGAAGACTACCAGACATTTTTCAGGACAATTTTTTTGTTTGTTTGTTTCTAACATTCTTAACAATCTCTCACACAGAATCCTTTGTGTTACTGGATTAAGAAAATAAAGATGATTCCTAGTCAAGAGATATCCACAAGAAACTCAAGAGGTTTCTATATCTAGCAACCTTGCTGGCAGACTCAGTCAGGAGAAAGGATAGAGCCAGCATGGAGAGACACTCCTTCAAAGCTTCCAAGGGAAAGGCTGACCAGAGAACAGCTGCTGTGTCAGGGAAATACAAGTCTGAAGGTTATTCTGTCTTTCTTGAGGATTAATTTCATTTACTCATTGAAACATATAATGCCTGAAGTGACATAAAAGCATCATCTCTGCACAGCTGAAAAGAGTCCAAGCAAAAAAAAAAACCAAAACCAAAAAACCCAACCATCTTTCAAAAACAGTATTGAATATGGGGACTACAAGCCTTCATAATTAGTCTACAATGACTTGCATGACCTGTGCTTAATCCTTATGCCTTCCAAGCTGCCTGATAGACAGGTACAGTATAACAGAAAACACTACAGAAATGGGAATCAATGGCTTTCTTCTGTCTAACCACAGTATCATTCTCACTTCATTTACTGCTTAGTGGGAAGGCATTTCTGTGGCCTGGGAATCAGCTCGTTCTAAATGGACTAGTCTCAAAGTTCAGCATTTTAGTGGTTTAAACTAAGTAGGAGTTTGCTCATCCATAGCAGCCTGGACTGCAGAAAATCCAGTTGCTTGACCTCTTAATGCTGTCTTCTATCCAGCATTACAAGAAAAAGACACTTGGTGAGGGCTCTGTGCTAACGTAGCAGGGGGTTACCTGCTACAATACATCAATCCTGGGGAACGGAGAGAGCTGGAAGAACTACACTGAAACACTCCAACCAAAAATACCTTCTGCTTCTGAAGGAAAAAAGAGTAATCTAGTTTGGGGGCTTGATTAGCAGCAAGGTATGGTGAGATGAACCCCCTCCCTGACATTGGTGTGATACCAATGTACCAAGTCTTTTAACCAGAAGTGAGATATGCAAGTAACCCAAAACTCAAAGCATAGGACTGCTTAAATTGTGGCAGTAGCAAAGAGGCCACTGAGAAGATCCTCTGCCCCGTACCAGGGCAAGGAGGAAACGCTAAGCTTTGGCAGTGTTTTGCACAAAAGCACAGGAGCATCTGAACCTGTGCTGTGTGCCTCAAGCGATAGAGTCACCTCTTCCTGAATTGGAAATCTCAAGCGAGTGCTGTTTTGCACTGTTAGTCAGCTGCTAGCCCACAAAATCATTTTATGATATTCTCCGTAGCACGTGCTCTTTAAAGGTTTTTAGAAGCAGTGGCAGGAGTGCAGTAAGAATGCGTAACTATCTAGTAACCTTACAGCCAGGCACAGATGCATATCTAGTTATGCCTCTGAGCTGCACTAATTATTTGTAATGCTAGCAACACTTTCATGTACCAAACCTGGAGTGTAAATGAAAGTATACTCCTATTAGGGAGAAAAATGCATTCTGTGAAACAAAATACTCACTTTCAGTCTGCCTATAAGCATATGTTATACTTACATAGCTATAATACACAGAATCCTCATCTGTCTAAATACATATAGATAGACAGTGAAAGAAAGCAATATAGTTAAGGACAAATACTTTACATGTGTATAGAAAATATGCAGAAAGGAAAATCAACTCTTTAAGAAAAATACTAGTGCCACAAATCAATCCTTCAACACGACTGCAGAAAAGAAATCAGATTTTGGAAAAAGAGCAGGGTGACTCTGTTTTGTAATTTTTATTGCCTCTGGAGCAATGACGTAGCAAGAGCCCACTGCTATCATTTCTCCTGTTTTGTATCCTTAAAATTATTCCCACCTGGGGTGCACAGAGAAGAAACGAAAGGAAGTAGAAAATTGTATTTTTCATGAGCTAATCCTGGGAAAGTGACTGCTCAGGTTTCCATGTTTCTTGGCAATAATAATTTAAACAAGGACGGCAATCTTTTGTTATTTTTTGCACAGTTGGAATGCACGCTTCCAGATAACAGACATTTAAACTGCAATTTAAGAAGAGGAGGGAGACAGTAATCGACAGGTATTCAAGGAGTCCTCTCCTCTTAGGACTGCTGCATAGCTCAACACAGTATGCTTCAAAACAGACAGCCTAGATGCAACCTCTTTGGAAATGCCGAAGGCAAGAAAGATCATGGGGAAAAAAACCTAAATTGAAAGCAAAGAGAGCACAACTACTGTACCTTTACTTTGGGGAGGGTTCTGACTTCTGTCTCGGAGAACATTAATCTGGTAGACAGCTCCATAAGGCTCAAAAAGTTCTTTTAACTCTTTTTCCGACCATGAACGGGGAATCTGTCCAACAAACATCTTAATGGCATCTGGGTCTGGTTGGTCTGAATGATCCAAAGCTCCATTCATCTTGTTAGCTGTGCCGTTACTAGAAAGTGGAAAAGGAGATTAAAAAGAGAAGGCAAGTTAGGAGACTACGCAGTTCTTGTGCACTAGATGCAGAAGATGATGTCAATTGGCACAAAGCAGAAAAAGAAAATCAGTATTTAATTAATAGCATAAGTATTATGAACAAAAAACAATGCGATTACATTTTTCATTGAGTCTGTTTTTCTCTGCAGGCTGCTGCTTAATGTCATTATACAAGAAGAGAGCAGCACAACGCGAACCAGGACTTTTGCATGTTAAAGCAGACGATAGTTGCAAATAAGTGCAGATTTCTCTCCATGGCTGTTGTAAACAGGACTGCACTGAATTCCCACTAAACTGGCTACTGGCAGAAATAAGGCAGCGTGTGTGTGTGTGCGCGTTTTGTAATAAAGTCACATGAAAGGAATATGAAACACTTGGCAATCTGTCAGATGACTAATGCAAGATGCCAGCGATGAATTTGCAGATTGTGTGAAGCATCCATGTGTGCATCAAATTAGTATGATATTGCCCAGAATGGAAAACACTCCAGCTATGTGGCTGGTTGCTGCCGATTAGTTGCCTACGCTCTTTAAAAAGGAAAAGCAGTCTGGAGAGCTCCAGTTTAAAGCACATTGTTTATTGCACCCTAGCATAAAAAAAAAAAGCACAATTCAAAAAGAGAAGGCAGTGGCAAAATTGTCTACTTCGTTGCAAAAATTGAAATGCTGCTTCAAAAAGTTTTTCTCTCTGCAAAAGGACGTCAATTTTTTGAAATTTCTCACACCCTGTAAATTGTTACCCTATCTGATCTCCAGGTGTACATCTAAGTTCAAAACAGTTACACACTTTTGCAGGCGAAAAGAACTTAGTCACGAAAAATAACCTGCTCTGTGAGACAAATTACATATTCTGGTTTAGAAAGAGTTGTACTCTTATCAGGAAAACAAATAATTTTAAATACTGAACAAAAGTAAAAATAAAAAAAAAAACCCTCATGTAATTATTGATAATTAAGGACAGTAATTTCAACTAATTACTTGGCTAGAGATTCTATAAGTGATGATAATTTTTGAATGCTTCAGTTTCAAGAAAGAACACTAATGAGATGTGACTTTTGGAGCATTCCCCTCATCTTTCCACAGGGGAAAGGGGGAAAATGGCCTGTGTTCAGCAATGTTGAAAGCTGATCATTGCAGAATTCAGGCATTTCAGAGCCACCTGCCACTTTCAAAAAACTTGGCTTTAATTACAATTTCTCCATTTGATGATTGTTCGGGAGAGAATGCCCACAGGAGGACTTGGAAGGGCTCAAAATCTGCACAACCAGACGAACATCATATTTTACATGTGAAAAAAAAAATATCTAAGAACGGCAAGAAAAAAACAACCCTGTGCAAATCCCGTCTCACAGGTATAACCTGTGCAAAGACAAATTATTTAGTTTCATGTGTTTCATCTCCTTGAAAGCATAATTCGCCTGAACACATTAATATGCCCATATTAACTTTAGCACTTTTCCTGCTTACAGCAGGAAGGAGAAAGTTATATTAAAGGTACATTTTAAACCAACAACAAGAAGTTTGATCATTGCTTGTGAAGTGTCTTCAACACGGATCAGCAGACAACAGGATTTATCACACTCAAAATTCCTATGGACTCTAATGGGAGTCTTGCCTGAGTAAGAGACTGAAAGATTTGGTCTGACCTTTTATATTACGTTTCATGCACAAATACCCTCTCTTGTCTTACATATGCACTTCATTTTGAAGATATTCTACAGGTCACAAGCACACCCGGAGATTCCTCCAGGCCTTAGAAACTGCATTTTCCATACATACATAACACTTAAGCCAAACCAAACCAACCAACCAAAGAATCACCCCCCAAACTCTCCAAGAAACAGAAAAACCCTGACTCACTTGAATGATACTCCATGGGAACAACTTTCAAGACTTTCATTGCAGCAGCATGCACCTACATGACAATTATACCTCTAGAAAATCACTTTGTTATTTCTTTCCAGTTCCGATTCCTTTATGTAAAACTCAATCTGTTAAACAACCTCCCTAGTAGGGAGTTTGAAAAATGCCTGACCCATAGCTTAAAATAACTAAGGAAATTCTTTACACATTATTTTGGACCTACAAAGACAAGAAAAGGTATAGAAGCTTAGCTGTGCAGTCCTCAGCTTTGCCCTGGACTCAACTATTTTCTTTCAGAAATCAGCTTCACTTTTCACTTCATTTATTCTCTATGTTCTTTAAATCAATAAATGAATTGAGTTAATTTTTAAATTATGCCCTTCATCTATTCTTTTTCTTGGATCCCTTCTTTAAGAAATCCATATATAATTGCTACTTAGCCCAAAATACTGCAAAGGTCACATTTAATAAAGAATAACATGTTTATTCCTTTGCTTTTTCCTTTACCCGAATCACCTTTACCACCAAGAGCACCACAATTTCCATTGTTAACAAGTCAATTTTTAGGAAACCACAAACCTGAACACTTCTACCTGTTTTCTCAGGTTAATGACTTCATTAGCATCAAGTTCCTGCTTTGAGCTAAAGGTTTAAGCACGGGCCAAGATCTCTTCTAATTCCACAAAATGCTTAAGCCCTTTCTTTACTTTGGTGGAACTGAAATTGAATTACGTTGATCATATTCCTTAAATGCTTTATTGGATGAAGATGGTTAAAGGCTCTGACTCCAGGTCTAGGCTACCATATGCTGTGATGAAAAGCCCCGGGGGACAGGTTTTGTCACTTGCTGCCTGAATTAACTTGGGTAAGTCATTAAAACTTCTCTGGACTAAATTCCACCATCCACTGACAGCTCTGCCAATCCACTAACTCCTGCAGATTTAGGAAAAAAGCATGCATAACTTAGACATTTCTTTATAATCCTTTTCTACTACAAGGTAGGGGTTTCGCTAAGCTGCCAACATTTTAGGGGCTGATAGGGAAGTTCAGTCTGCAAAGGTGGCACTCATTTCGACAAGCACAGCTTGGCTCCTTTCTAAATTGCATTTCCTTTGAGTTCAGTGCAAACTAAGGCTCTTGAGCACCTTGGAGGAGGGATCCCACTCTCACTGTCAGAGTTTTGAGGAGCACATGAGCACTGCTGCAGCAATGGCACTTGCAGTAGCATCCTCACCCAACTTTGGCAGCAGCCATAGGACTACTGCCAATGCAGACAAACTGAACAAGCGAATAAAACAAGAGAAAAATAACAATGGAAAACACACCCAAGTTTATAGATTCTACGGATCTGATCCCTGCAGTGTACTTGAAGGTTCCACTGAGGAACACGACTATACAGCACACCTGCCTGACAGTTCAGTTGTCACAGAATTCATTGGGTCAGTACAAAATCCAGCCCAATATTCTTGATCCCTTGCAAATAATCTCTGCTAAAGATGAATTCCCTTATCCTCTCCCAATCTTCACCTTCACCCAATGGACATTACTGCTCTGCACTAAGACCTCTTGGTCACCAACAGCTGCAGGGTTATTTCACACTCCTCTTTGCCAACACAACGGCTCTCAGAGGAAGCGGTTCCTTCCTTCCCCCATCTTCCCCTCCTGCTGTACCCAAGAAATAACAAGGCAAAAGAGAAACCATGCGTGAAACTTTCCAAGAGGAAGCAAAGCAATCCTTGTGAAAGCTTAGGACTATTTCTTGAAAGCATGAGAGTACAGAGATAGCTGTGTCTAGGGCACACTAATGAGAATGGGATCCCTTGACAATTACTGTCAGTACCCAAATGATGACACACATTAAAAAAAAGAAAAAAAAAAATTAGATTACGTGGCTTGCTTGTCTCTACACTGCAGCAATCCTTCCCTCCATGGCCAATTTAGCCTACTGGACTCAGGGGTGACCCAGCACATCATCTTCACTGACAAGGTGTCATCTATATCGTAGAGAGCAGCCCGAGGGCAGAGATTAAGCCACTGAGTAGCTGGCTGCTTGTGGTTGCTGCCAGAGCATCCTCTCTCTCAATTTGTGCCAATTTTCCTTCTAATAACCTAACTACCATTCCATCATTTCAGCAAGTTGACAGGGCCACTCTTTGAGGAGCTAGAGATTGTTTTAATACTACTGCTGCTTAAGCAGGAGCACCGGAAAAACCTAGTAGATGCCTTCTCTGTCTCTCCCATTCATATCTGTAATTACAGCAAGACTGCTAAAAGAGAACTGACCGCTAAGGAGAGAGCGGTAGATTTCAGAAACAAAGTCCGGATCAAAAGGGACTCTCTTAAATTTATCACTGTTAAGAGCTTTGGCATTAATCCACATTCATTTCCATTAATGAACTAGGTATCAAGCCAAGCTGTTAACTGGGACCGAACAGGTTTACATGAGACCCGTTTTTCAAATGTTTTTAACCCTGCCCAGAACCCTTCTCACTGTTCCGTTTTGGTTAATTCATGTCTCAACCCTCACCCTATTTTAGTGGTTTTACCATTTTGCTGGGGATTTGCCTTTTTCATGTTCTATGGTATAAGACATCTGCAGGAGAACATTGAACTCCCTCTAAGAGCCAACATATCAAGAAGAACATGATAACGAATGGGTTCCAAATGTAAAGACAACTAAATCCACCCCAGCACAAGAGGCATTTACAGGCATCAGGGTTTTACAGTAGTAAATATTTACATCCAAGCTGCGGAGTCTCTGCCAGGATATCACACAAGCTGACAAAAGGGACAACACCCATGTGAAGGCCTCCAACTGCTATCAAGAGAGACAAACAAGCATCAACTTACCGTGCTCGAAAGATCATAATTGCTGGTTTACGAGCAAATTTTATCTGGAAGGACCCAAAAGGGCTTTATAAACTCATTGTTTAGAGAGGAATGACTTCATCGTAAGGTGACAGACGGCAGCTGTTTAATGACACGGAGCATTATCGCACAACAATTTCAGCCAGGAAGGGTAGAACAATACCATACCCAATTGAAAACTGCAGGGGGTTGCGATTTATAGACACAGAATGTAATTACCTA